CTCTCTCCCTGGGTGTGTATAAGTATACATATGTGTGTGTGTGTTTGGGTGTGTGTTTGAGTGTGTGAGTGTGTGTGTGTGTATGTGTGTGTGTGTGTGTGTGTGTGTGTGTGTGTGTAAGTGTGTGTGTGTGAGCATGACGACACCCATATTTCACCATATATACGAAAATGTAGAGGAGAGGGAGGAAGAGGAGAAGGCAGAGGAGGAAGAGAACAACAAGAACAACAACAGCAGAAAGAAGAAGAACAGCAATATCACACTAACAAACAACCATAGCAACAAAAACACCAACAAATGATGTGTGAGGAATGAATTGAACGACAGTCGTTACTTGTAAAACAAGAAAAGAAAGAAAGATGTAAAACAAAGGAGCAGAAAAAAAGAACTTTTTTCCAATGTGGTAGAGAAAACGAAAACACAGATAGACTGACAAGAAATCTTACGAGAGTTTCGGTGTTATTGTAACTGGTACAGAACATCCAGAGGGACCCTAAGTTACGCACAAAAAACAGTCAAAGTCGGAGAGAAATATACACGCTTTCAACATAGATCTAAATAAATATAAATATATCATGACCAGACGTCATTACATGACAAGAAGAGGAGGGAAAAAATAAAACCTCAAGGCATTTGAACTAAGAACCAGGAAGAACTTTTTTGGGGGTGATTTTGGATAACCGATGAAGATTTCACAAGAATGGACAAGGAAAAGAACAAAAGTGACCGTTGAAAACTTCAGCCCCTGGTAGATTGACGGCGGTGAGACGGTAGTTGGGGGGGGTTATACCGAAGGGGGTAAGAGATTGCATAATGAAAAGCCCAAAACGTTACATTTTCTTACCGTTCACTTCACAGAACGCTATTCCTCCAGAGTAGCAATTATCCAAACATCCCAGGAGCACCAAAGCGTGCTGATGCTGTGACGTCACACACCTCTCAAAGTTAGCAAAAGTCACAAAGAAACACTGCGGGGCGGAAATGTATCAGTATCAGTCCAGGCGAAGACAGCAGAGGTGATTTACCGCTACAGAACTGACCAAACCGTCTCCGACACTAGATGTCGTCTGTTGGCCGCGGCGTGACACGAAAGCTTCAATCCCGTACAATGTACCGAAGGCAGAGATCAAGACCAAGGAAAACAAATCCGGCCGTCCGCGACGCGACCCAACCGTAAAATCTCAATCCTCCTCGCGCCGCTCAGGGTAGAGCACGCGGTCTCTCTCTCTCTCTCTCTCTCTCTCTCTCTCTCTCTCTCTCTCTCGTTGCCGTTCGGGGCGGCGGGCGGGTGGTGTGTTGTAGCGCGTGTGTGACTCCGTGTGTGTGTGTGCATGTGTGTATGCGTGAGTGTGTACGTGCGTGTGATGCGTATCCCCCCGCTCCGTCTCGCCTCGCCGTCCGGCCGTGCCTCGCGCCTCCGATTGGCGCCGTGCTCGTACATGATTGGACGAAAGGATTAAAGGGGCGGGGCGAAGTCCTGGCCAGCGGCGGAACGGGCCGTACGTTTGTGACACGGGCTGCTCTGTCGTTTTCTCAAACAAGAGTCGCAGATATTAGATAAAGTTAGATCTTTTTGTCCAAGGTCTCTGGGCACATGGTGACCTAGGATAGAGATACAAGGGTGATTTGGGCAGAAAGCGAAAGACAGAGAGAGAGAGAGAGAGAGAGAGAGAGAGAGAAAGAGAGAGAGAGAGAGA